CCCCTAACCCTCTCCTCCCCCCCACCAACTACCCGTAACGTAACCAACAATTTACTCTACGAAAATACAAGACATCATACGAAGATAAAAGCCACTTAAAAAAAAAAAAAAAACAGAGCTATAGCCCCCTTCCATACAAATAATTAAAAAAAAAAAAACAGCACCAACATAATGCTCGACTGAGCTTGCAACCATGAGAATACACCCAATTCACTCAGATAACCACATGAAAAACCTTTTTAGGATCTCACTATATTCCGCATCACCCTTTTCACGCACCAACACACACAAAAAAAACATATAAAACACCCGGTAAAATTCCTATGACCATCCCCCCCTTTTTTTATTCCAAAATACATCCGCAAAAAAAAACCCTGTCCCACCTCAAATACAACCCCTCCCGTACTTAGCCTCCCATGGCTGATCCCCCACCACACACCTCCCCCACAGCCTCCTCACAAACACCAGTCCCTTATTTACCATGAATACTCACTCCCCAAGATACCTTACCGCCCCCTGCTGACTATAATTCCTTTAATACCCACAAAACACAAGAAGAATACTCGTCACACACATTTATACCCCCAACTATAAACTCACGGCCAAATATTACTTAAAACAAATTGTCCGCCCTAGCCGGAATTTGATCCCACACGAAACAGTTTCTAACTTCCTTACGAAGTAAAATCTTCCCCAATGCCGCCCCTCTAATCCGACCTTAACAGACGACAAAAGATTGCACTTCTGCCACCAATATCGATACCACCTGCACATTTCCCCACTGCTCCAACACCGTCTCACCGCGCCAGAACCACGAAACCGCTTCCAAAACGACTAGAACCTTCTCATCCCCCACCCCCCCTCCCCTCATCACCGATCTTCATCCTCATACAGGGAACCCCTATGATCCAACTGGCCATACACAGCAAACCCTCAACAAAAAGCCACACCTGATCAACCCCCGAACAGGCAAACAACAATTGCTCCCCACTAGATTATACCCCGACCTGCCTCCTGCACTCCAGTCCAACTCGAAAGAAAAACGTACTACATATCAGAGCGCACACACCCCTCCCTTGCACTCATCCCCCAATGCCTGGCTACATATAATCTTGCACAGATAAAACAGCCCCCGATACACACGTAAGACCCACACTGCCCCATTTTAGAAACAACCCACCACCTGTTGTCACCGGATGCCTGCCCCCCAGCCACAACGCCCCCCCAAACCCCCCAAACCCGCCTAAGACAGACATCACGAACCTTCCCGCAACTTCACACTAACACAGACCCCAACTTCACACAGACTGCCCCTAAAATAAAGACTCCCCTCACAAAGCACAACCACGACCATCACGAACCTTCTCGCAACTTCACACTAACACAGACCCCAACTTCACTCAGACTGCCCCTAAAATAAAGACTCCCCTCACAAAGCACAACCACGACCCCCTCCTGAAGACGGAACCCAGCAATCAGCCCGCAGATGCCAAGCCCCCCCGAAAACCAACCTCCCCCCTTAGGTAGTTCCGCCCCTCCAATGGTGCGTCCAATATTGCCTCCCACTCAACGATACCAGCCAGCCGACCGTCGTGTTCCTTCAAAAGCGATAACGTCATCAACTGGATCATCAGTTCCACCACATCCTCCCCCACCCCCTCAGGACGATTTGGCACATCATCATGCTCCTTACTCACATTGACAATAACATCACGTAGGAAATCATTCTCATAGCCGATCCCAACAGCCAGTCGCAACATCAACTCGCCCCGCGAATCGATCTCATAATGCCGGATGGAATGACGAGTTACAGACGCCATAAACTTGAACTCCCGCCCCTCCGTGAAGTCACGCGAGTCCGTCAGCTCATACGCCATCACAACCCGCCCTAAGATATGCCCTCTACTCACTAGGTTCGCTGCCATCTCGTCCTGACAAATACGTTCTCTCTCTCCCCCCCTCCCGATCCACTCCCCTCTCCTCCCGCCCCTCGCGCTCTCCACCTCGCGCTCCCCACTAAAACAACACAGCTAGAGGCCAGTCGACACACGCTGGATCCTCCCAAAAAAATCCAATACTGAAAAATATCCCCTCATCGCGTAGACCACAACTCCACCACGTGTCCTCGTCACCTCCCACTTAAAAAAGTCAGCCCACGCCAACCACACATGCAAACAATACCAATTTATAGTGATCCCCCTCTCCGACACACACACACTCAACACATAAAGATTAGCCCAATTCCCACCCTCAATAATAAGGATGGATTAATAATGCAAAAAATACTACCCCCCAACTATCTAAAAAGACACATCTAGACCCTGAAGAAACGGAACAAATACCACCATATTGGCAGATTGAACTAACCCCCCTCCCCCTTACCTCAGCAAAAACCACCTAAGGGTCCGAACCCCCCCCCCCAAAAAAAAAATTAAACCCCCCCATTTTTTCTCCAGTTTTTTTTTTTCCTCCCCGACTGATTGAAGTGACACTAACCCTACAACTTCTGCGCTGTAGGGAATCATCGAACAGTTCGAACGGCACGTCACTCTCCTAATCCCGAAAACTTCCTACCAACAGGTCAGTGCCGACAGCAACCGTTCAATACCCCAACAGCACATAAACTGACACACTCTTACCACCCCCAGATAGAACACCAAGCGAACCTAGATTTAGTAATTTCATCCATTGAGAAAGGATGTTAAGTATGCACATAATCTAGCTGAAAACCTAGATTTAGTAATTTCATCCATTCCATTGGCCTGGGTGGCTGCTCTTAAAAAGGGTCCCATTTTTTTGGTGGCGGACTGGGTGTGTGCTCATCTTACGACGGGTCACAGGGTGGTGGGTCAGATATTGGATATCCATACGGAAGGGGCTCTAGTAAACATCTTTATGCTCCATAAAGACTTCTCCCTATCACATAGTAATCAGGACAAGGTGGGGGTTTTCCATTTTAATACACTCTATAGGGTGAGAGCATTGTATTGTTCAACAACTAAAGGATGGATTGTGTATGCACCAAATTCCCCCATTCCAGATCTCCCTTTGGATCCTGCAGAATGGACCTGGCGTGCCAACAGGAGATGCATGGCTCAGAAATTGCAGTCCTTATCGGTGAAAGCCTCGTATCGTCTGTTATGTCCAAGAGTTGATGTATTTGACATTATTCAGGAACGGTGGGCCAGACATTTAAATATATATACAGATCTGCTCAAACCAATTAAGTGGTGTCAAGGTTTCAAAGAGAAACCTGCTAAATTTGTATCATTACAGTGGCAGATAATCCATCGATGTCTGCCAACAAATGACTGGCTGATTGACCACACCACTCTGGAGCAGAGGGGGGTAGCTGTACCGTGGTGTGATATGTGTGTGGAGACCTTCCCCAGTAGAAAAATTAGAGAGACAATAGAACACATTATTTTACAATGCCCGGGGGCAAAATTGTTGTGGAGGCGCTGGGATTATGTATGGAATAAATTGACAAGCTTAGATTGGCCTTGGGACTGGAGGGTGATCCTCCTGGGACACTGGTGCCCTGTCCTCATTTCACTAACATCGTTTCAACATAATTTATTCAACATTGGTAGAAAAGCCATCTTATGGGTATTATGGTATAAAAGATGTGTATTCACAATGGAAAAGGTCAGGATTGAGGGCAGAGAAATGTCAGAGATGGTCCAAAAGTTCATCGAAACAGAAGTAAGATATCAATGGGACAAGACTAAATTTGGGCTTCATGTGATGCAGCAAAAACAGGATATTAAGAAACGAATTCAAACTTTCACAAAGGACTGGCTGGGTGACTYTTCCGRAAGGAAAATGAGAAATGWGGAGTGGCCGGGAGGGGAAGAGAAWGAGACGAATTTCAAAAGAGACTATGAGATCATCTTCCAGGATTGGTTTGATGTGTTGCCAGGTGCTACCTTGAGGTCGCCAGATGCATTTCCAGATCCCTTTCCTCCTTCTGAGCTTGCTTTAGTAGATCTTGATTGGTTTGGGGGGGGGGAAGAGTAGGGGATGAGGATAGTAAGCTCAGATTGGATAACAAATTTTTGGGTAGGGTGTTTGTGATTAGACAGCTGCTAGTTATTACATATTCATCAGGCGGCCATTTTTCTGGCTGAAGAGGCAGCTCACTATGAGACGCATCTCCCTTTTGGTTCATAATTCAGTATAATGTAAATGAGGGACGCCGGACCCGATTTCCAGTAGGTGCAGCTCC